ATTACTATCCATTAATTAATACTAACAATATTTTTTATTTACATTTAATTGCATTGGGTTCTAATAATTAAAAGAAGAAATCGATGAATGACTAATTTAATCTCCACTATAAATTATTCATTATAATCATTTGTCTTTTTATTTTATTTCTTAAAGCTAAATTATAATAATGTTTTGAAAGAATAAATTTTTTGATTCTTGTTAAATTGTGGTTAACAATTATGGCTTAACTTTTGACTACTCTTGGCAGTTAATTGCAAGTAATTCGGTGCTTGTCAAATAATTAGTTTACAAATTTACTTTGTTTCCCTCTTTCTTGCATCTAGACGAATCTGTGAGCAAACTTGATGGCACCAGATAATTGTAAATAAATAAAGATGGTCTTTTACAATGCTCAAGGGCTTTGATTTATTTCATTGGCCGATTGCAAATTCGCATTGGTTTACTTGCATAACAACTTAAATGACTTATTTAACATCCTTACGTTATGATTACAATAACACTATCAGTATTTATGATTAACCTTTGGACGATACTTTATTAACATCCGCTGTTAGTCCTAACCTTTGCTTACTCACTAAAGCAAATCATGTTACTAATTGTTGTTAACACTCATTAGTTAATCAACGTTAATCCTAACCTTGCTTGCTTACTCACTAAAGCAAATAAAATGTGGCTTTTTACCAAAGTTCCATAATTGTTACTTTTTACCAAGGAGATACACTTGTTGCTTTTATCAAAACGTTTAAACAAAGAGAATAAAAAACTATTTTATTATTTTTATTTTATTTTAAAAGCTTATTAAAAATAATGATTCTATCACAGAGTTTTATTTTATCACATTATTAATTATCGATTAATTTCCTCTGCGATCAAGCGAAGACCTGAAGTTATATTAATGAAATTTTCGTTGAATGGAAAATTAAAGGTTTATTATTAATAATTATTTACAGAGTAATTTAATTATACTAATACACTAATTAGTTGACCTGGAACGTAAAGTAACGAATTCATATTTTTCTATACTGGCTTTCAGTAATTGCCTCATTTAGGCTCAAATTTCAGAATCCCTAAATCAATAATTTTATCTACCCCGATCATGCATCTCGTTATTAATATTAATATAAGAAATGTTCGAGTATAGTAGTAAATGAGTGTGTGGGAACTGAATTTGTATTCAGCAAAAGAAAAATTTAGCTCCTTTGGGAACAACTGATGAAACAGGATAGATTGGGTGGGATACACAAGAAAAAAAAACCTTGGAATATATATATTTATAAGTTTTTTTGTGAGTTTATATTTTATTAGCCTTTAAAGAAATTTTACTTATGTCATTTTTGACTTGATGACAGTGACTTTGACGTAATAGTTTTACAACTTTGGTAACGTTTCATCAAACAAGATTAGTTGCAAGTGTTCAAAAAACTTTAAGATTATATATACTAAAGCTTGAAGATCCAGAAGATGGGCTTTACTTTTATATGGCATCTAAACTAGACCTGCCAAGTATGAAATTAGTATAATCGAATATGGAGGAGAACCAGCAAAATTAATATCATTGATAAATCGAGCAATTATTAAAGGTATAAATAATTCTTTACCGCAATGTTAATTTTCCTTGAATATCCCTCAACCAAATACAAAGTTTCTTTATCCTTTTCATGGGATTTGTGGCTCAGCCAGCAACAAAAAATAATCTTGATATCACAGACCCTATACACAATGCCATTATGGGGGGTTTGGAACAAACACCTGTATGGTCTGTGTGTGTCTGGCTTTTTCTAAAGCATTAAAAGCTACATGAATTTTCTATGCATGTACATTTCGTCACTCGGGTGGTGCATGAAATATGTCTGCCTCATCGTTGTCGATATAAAACATAATGAAAGTCTAGCCAAAAATGATTGCATGTCAGAAGCCGGTTATAGAGGCTATAGAATCCTTTAAAATTTTAATTGCAACGAAAATTTTCATAATACCACTTGTATGTCAGATTTTTATAGAATATGGTTTATTGCATACAACCATATAAATGGAATGAAATAACTGGAGCTTGCAAACCAATTTTTTCGCCAAAGGGCACGGCAAGCCAATATGAATCTCGTAAAGTTCGATCCGGCTGATTTTCTTTTTTGTAAAACAATTTTTTTTCTGGAATTTCTCAAAAGTCAGCCTTGTCATTGTTTTTGATGATAATCAAATAAAAGATAGACGAGACTTTTTGTTATCAAACAGTTGACAATTTTATTGGCTAACTTTTGATTACCATGCAAGCAAGAATTTACTTGTTAATGC